CACTCGGACGGAAATGGCTCGCGTACTGAGGAAACATTGAAGCCACAATACGAGAGACGGGCGGAATCCGAAAGTGGGTAATTTCGACAACAAACCTTCATGCTAAACACGGTAGAAGGCCTTAGAAAAGTCCAGCGAGACCATGTGAGGTTCTCCGTGGTTATTGAGTGCATATAACCAGGAACGTGCTGTGAGAACCAATAGGTCACCCGTAGATCGGCGACGGCGAAATCCAAATTGACGGTCATTCAACAAACCGCGTTTGAGAAACGTACGCAGCTGGTCGGCGATAACGGTTTCAAACACTTTCGAGATTGCAGACGTCAGTGATGGGACGATAAATGTTGGGGTCAGAAGGGTAACCATTCTTCCGGATAGGAAAAGTAGTGGTATTTTTTCGTGGAATGGAGGAAGATTTGAGATCGAATGAAAAACAGGTGGCGTCAGACAGGAGCTAACTCCAGAACATACACCGTCAAGACGATAGGTGGAATACCGTCCGGATCGAGTTTACAAACACCCAAACCACGAAGGGCTTGGCGGACGTTTCTGGTTGTTGTGATAGAAAGGAGTGGCTGGATCCATTGGGGGGGAAAGTTCGAGAGAATAGTCGACGTATAAGGTAAAGTTGTAGGCAAACCGGAAAACGAAGACCTCTGCCTTTTCGTGGGATTCACAAACAAAAATACCAGGGGAATCACAAATGGGAGGAAAGTTGGAAGGGCAGAAATTACGTGAAACCGCTATAGCAAGCGACCAGAATGTTCGGTTACCAAAGGCGGACAAAGCCAAGCGCGCAACTTTGTGGCAAATGAAGCGTTCCTTCTTTAGCTCTCTGTATTGTGAGCGAGCATCTGTTTCTGGCTTGCTTGAAGTGGTTGTGAGGTGTTGGGTTGGGTTGGGTCAGTTGCGTCAACGACGGAATGATGAGTTTTTAAAACGTACAGCACGGTTGCAAACATGATGAAACCGCTCAAGGAATCGTGGTTTACCGGGTTTGGAAATGTGGAATATAAAGATGTGTAACTTGAATAACGACCTCTGTGAAGTTTGAAACAGATTTGAAATAACAATCCTTCCGGAGATAACATACCAGAAAGTCACCAAAACCCATCCCAGTTGGCTGAGTCGTAACGCCATAAGGTGCGTTTGGAGTTAGATGGTGAAATGGGCTGAGAGAAGTGAGTGAGAAAGGAAATGAGGCAATGATCTGATGAGCTTAATGGGGAAATGGAAGTGATGTTAGAGAAATAAGAGGGAATGGATTTGAGAATGAGGTCAAGGATGTAGGCGCGGTCACCAATACGATCAGTGATGCGTGTGGGGAAGTCAACTAGTTGACTCAAGATGTTGACCACAGCAAACGCCTCGGTTTCGCGTCCCATGAACGAAGTGTCTGAGGAGAGCTCCATTTATTCCTTGCTGTGGACACTGAAATCTCCAAAAATGGTAATTTGGCTGTTAGGATCTGTCGCCATTAGTGGCTCAAAGTTGGAAGATAGAACACAAAAAATAGAAGGATTGTTGTTGTTGGGAGAGTATCAGTTTTAGTTTGTACAACCGTTAACCGTGTATTTCCTTGCGTGGGTTTGGGGTGCTGTCTTGGGACTGCCCATTTGGGTGAAGCAGGCTTGGGGATGGATAAACTGTACAAAAATAGTGGTTAAAAGGGAACCGAAGTTTCACTCACATAAGTTAGAATTCACGGTTGGAAAAATCGAGGTGCAAAAGTTGAGAAGCGGCAAAATGATTGATGTAGGCGCAGAAACCAGCTTTAAGAAGAAAAGAAGAACGGAGGAGGCGAATAAGGAACTTAAGATGAGTGGTGTCTGACGATAGAATGATTTGTGTTTCGGTCAAAAATAGAGCCACAGAAAGAAGATTGGAGAAATTGGTGTACAGAATTAACATTTCGAATTAAACTATGAATGTTAGTGAGGGCAATAGTGCTGAGAGTTCATGGGTAGAGTGCGCATTCTGTGGTTCATATGAGTTTCACTGTTCATTTGTGGTGTGAGAAAAGATCGGCAACCCAAAGTTGAGTCGTAAACCAAACAAGGCCGTAATAGGTTGAGCGTGGTAGTGAGCCGGGCGACAGCAGGGCTACTTACCACCCTAGTGAATTTCCCTTCGTTGCCACCTGATTTCAAATCTGTTTCTAATTTCCGATGAACAACACAATCACAATCCCTAGTGCCTATGGATTCGCATAGATAACAGAACTCACCGTTCAGTTGTGGGAAACCACAACCAGAGCCCGAAGACTTAGAGTAGACAATCTTGTTTGATTATGTTAGGTTGGTATGGAGCTGAAGGAAGTTATCATCAATACCTGACGATAACCTCAAATTTCTTGTAATTTACTAATTCTGAACTGACCGGAGTGAGATGGTAACTGCCATCGTTTACAAACCTGATCCTAAACCAAAAGCCAGCAACGTAAATATAACCAAATTTACTTTAATACTGGACGCTAAACAAAAGATGAAAATACCAAAGTATTGCACAAAATGACGAAAAATACAGAACTTTCATTGCACAATGCTGATCGTTTGTTTTTTTTTCAGGCCGGCTCTTAAGTGGAGAAATTACATAATACCTTGGTAAAAACTCTAGTGCGGTAGGTTTGAAGGAAATCACGGCTAAGAATCAAACACTGCATGAACTTCACGAACGGGTTGGTAATTTTGTGATTCTGTGTGGAGGCAACAAAGGAAGCAGCCAAAAATGGAAAACTTTCGTAATACAAGAATTAATTTAGGGAAATTATTGAGATAGACACCAAGAGTTCGCAGGAGACCACTAACCTGAGTTTGTTTTCCCTGCAGAGGCAGAGCTTGAGGAGATTGGACACGACCGGGACGGGGAGAATACAAACCCGATTGTGGGGTTCGGGATTCGTTCGGAGCGGCCACCACTCGCCCGGCCTCGTCATGCAAACGCTTTAATTTTAGAAGTTGACTAGCGCTCATCGACGTAGCCGGGGTGTATGAACCATCCCAATCGGGAGGTAGTTCATTTTCGCTGTTCGCCAATTCAGGGTTCACATCCGGTGAAACCGAACAAGCTGGTTCATGAGCAGATGGATTGATAGCTTTAGATGTTGAGACAATCTCCTCAGTAGATTTTAAACCGGACAAATCAGCTGTTGTCTGCTCTGAGGATACCACGTTCATGGGAGATTTCGGAGTCTATGGAAAATTGAGAAGAAGAATTCATTGTATCAGGGAAACGAACTCATCAAGAAGTAACATCATCTAATCTGAAACCACCCTTGTTCTAAAACAAACAAGTAAGTTTACTTTCATCCTTGTGGCACAAACACTAACACCAATGTTTAAATTTTACGCTTGAAAATGACGACAGCTTACAAGAAAGCAAAAGAATCTGTGAATTCGGGATGAGAGAAACAACACATTTTGAACTACTACCAAACAATTTTTCATCCCAACGAAACTACTTCTTTAGGCAGTGGCTTGTCCCCAAATCCCTGCGACTTATACCAGAGGGTTTCTTACAGCGGCACATCTAATTATCCCTGAAAAGTAAATGGATGGAAGCCAGACAAAGCTGGTTCAACGCAAGCCGAGTGAATATCTCCTGGGTTCGTTTGACTATCCACTCTCACTCCTGGAGAGGTCACCTCAGTAATCAAAACCCCGTTTGGTGGATGAAGGTGCGGTGGAAGATACCCCCGTTTTTCATTGAACACCCTTCGCCCACTCATGCTGGCCAGCCTCGACCAATAAGGTGTCTTTTCCATGTTGAGTGTCTCAGTGCAGGAGGCTATGGGCCGATCCCGAACGGCAGATGGACAACCAACACACCGGCGAATAAAACACTAAACGTGACAACGTTCTGGAAGATCCCACGAAGGTGTTTCAGTTATCCCTCCGACTTGAGTTTACGCCCTGTAGGACAATTTTTTAGTCAAACGGTCATGCCAGGCCACCCAGAGAAAAAACGAAAACCCGTTGTCTTCCAGATATGACTTTGAGTCAAAGGCTCCGATTGGGGTTTCCCCAAGACCCTTCAGTTGATGTGGGTTGTACCGTGAATTCACAATCAACCATTAGGAAACCTACCTTTCCAATTAGTCTGGTTATTCTCTCTCGAAATCAAAGATGTCATTCGTTTACGTCCCTCAGTGTATATCAGAAGAATTAAACTAGCGAGAAAAGCCAATCGGAAGCTACTGAACTGAGAAAATTTAAATCTTCCCTTTATTTGACAACATCCAATTTCTGCACACTATTAGATCGATCAACAAGC